TGATGAGTGGTGTCTGATGAGTAGTGTCTGATGAGAAGTGTCTGATGAGTGGTGCATGATGAGTGGTGTATGATGAGTGGTGTATGATGAGTGGTGTATGATGAGTGATGTATGAGGAGTGGTGTATGATGAGTGGTGTATGATTAGTGGTGTCTGATGAGTGGTGTATGATGAGTGGTGTATGATGAGTGGTTTATTGATGAGTGGTGTATGAACAGTTCTTGAATGTCCGTAACACGGAAGTTTCGTACACTAAACTTCCTTTGACTAGGAGCAAGCACGCTACTAGGGGCCATATCACAATGGATTCGATGGCATTTGTCTACACATTATCCCTACGTGCCACAGGCTCACGATGTTGCAACGATCCCTCTGAGTATTGTGGTGGAGTTATGACCAATCAACAAACCGAGCATTTGGACCCTATACGATGGAAATCAATGAAACATGAAGTCAAACCTACTCTGGCGGGTTTGTGCACAGTTGAACTGAGCTGAACTGAAGTTTTGGCCAGATCATTTTGATCCTTAGTCCCATCAGCCGCTAATCAATGACGCTAAGCGGACCACACAGCCATCAGCCATCCAACTGGCCATGGAGTTTCCAGCTGCGGTACAGAAACCCTGCGCGCTGCATGGGGTCGTTAAGCACAGCCTCTCAACAAGGAGGCTTGGGCTGGGCCGGTAGGGTTTGTTCTTTCTTTTCTTCTCTCTCTCTCTCTCTATATATATCTCCTTTCAAGTTTCCCAAAAAGTCTAGGAACCAAATCATTAGTGCGAGCGCTTCTTCAAGGAAACTCCCCCCACCCTCAGGGGAGCTTGCTTGAAGAAGAGTGAACTATCCTGCGTTCATATGTAGTAGCTTAAGTAGCTAGTAGCTTACTCCCTTACTTAATTAAGTAGGAGCGGGCTTAAGAAAGAATAACTGACCTTGCTAGAGTCCAACTTTTTTTGACCTAAGTCCAGAGCTTTCCTCTTTATTCTCCCTGGAGAGGTTGCAGCCCCTTCGACGGTATCGGAAAGCTAGCTGGGACGACGGCTGCCGATGGAGGCGTGAACAGGTCTCATCAGCCATGGATCAAATGGTTCAAATACAGTGAGCTTAAATTTGGAGGGAACGATCAGCCAGTCCCAGGCAACCTGCTGTGAGGTCCTTCGCCTTTCTTGCTGGCCCGGGTCCTTGAGATTCTGCTCTCAAAGATGTTTAGATGCACTTACTCGGAAACAGACAGATCAACTGCTAGATGTTTTGATGATAAGTGGAAGGAATCATTGAAAGGAATCATTTTGTATCATTCTGGTCTTTGGCGCATGCCGCCGCACGAAGCTGAGGCATGTGCGGCATGCGCCATGCCTTGACTTGCCAGAAACGGGTGAATCGCAAGGGGGCAAAGGATGACGATGCTGACGATGTCCAATGGGTCTTCACTGGACGAGTGGCTTAGTTGGGATTGATAGGTTAAAGCTCGTAGGGCCATGTTGGCGTATGTGACCTTGGATTCCAAACATACTTGCAACGTGATTGATACAAGGAACGACCCCAGGTTTGCCGATGTGGCTCAACCACAAGTTTGTTGCAGTCAATCCTTGATTGATAGCCTTTGATGGCTTTCGCACCTTTTGATCTGGTCAGCATCAGAAAAGCTCTAGCTCAGGCGTGGTTCCGTCCAGCCATTCAGCAAGTGAAGACTCAGCCGAAAGAGGCCAGGCTTGGACTTCGGTGAGTTCGCCACGACCGAAGTATCGCCATCCATGTGAGGTATCCTTCCTTTCGCTCTTTGGATGGACTTTGGGAGGTCTGGTCTGCCTGGAGTGCCTTGCCCACAAAATCGGGTGCAGCGGGTGCAGCTCCAAACCGCAGCGATCCACAGACCGAAATTGCCAGGTACGACGACTCGCCGTGTGGTGCATACCGAGAGGCAGGGGGAGAGACTGTGAAGCTTTGGGAATTGTTGAAACTGGACATGTGGCAACATGAAGTGGAGACAAGCAGATCATTTAGATGACAGGTTGTGGACATGGGTTCTGTTGTGGTTCGGGGAGGAGCCATTGGTCAGTCGGGCAGCTCGGTCAGAGGGTGCGCACGATCTTGCGGTAAATTGATGATGTGCCTTGCCGCAGCTGCAGCTGCCCAAGCCAAAGACGGTGCCAAAAAAGGTGCAGCTACGTGGCCCGTTTTCTTCAAAGCAAATGAAGAGAACTAAGAAGGGGTATGAGAAGGGTGGAAAATCGCTTGTCCAAGTGTGTTTGTGCATGAGGCAATCACAAGTTGTCTCATTTGTCCAAGCCATGAGAACTCTTGGTGACCCCGTGCAAGCAGACAAGCAGCTGATGAGATTGAATGAGTCTGGTCAGGAGGCCTAGTAGTGGTTCCAAGACTGATCCTTCGGCAGTTCCATTTCTTCGAAAAAGCAGCTATGCTCCCAACAGTTCACACAGGCGAATCTTACGCACTTACGTCGGAATCTTCGGTGTCTCATCGGACCGTCGGACCGAACGAGCAATGCCAAGGCTGACAAGTCCAGCGAAGCCAAGGCTTTGAAGGAGGATTGCTTTCACACCAGGGTGCTTTAGCTTTGATTCTGCGGTGCCACTTCAATGAAAAGCACACCTCGATTGAAAAATAAAGAGTCCAGAGTCCAGTACCATGGATAGGCTTGGTGCTGCTTCTTTGGAGGGCCAGAGTGTGGGGTTGTAGCTAGTAGAGATCACCTTCTGAGGATGTCATTGCCGAGCTGTCTCGATTGCCAGCCTTCTTAGTGGCAAGCGAGCATTGGCTGGCAGAAGCAACTGCAAAGCTGGCCTTGAAGGGCTGTGGCCGGGAGGAGTGCCATGATTGTGCAAGAGCTTCTGCGAGGATTCCATTTATTGAGCCAAGTGTGGTCAAAAGCAGCACGGGAATCCTGTATCATGTCAGCATCATCTCCAAAATAGCACGAAGTTGAATATATATATATAACTATATGTACTGTATATATATATATAATCATAGCATTATATAGCCGAAAGAAGAGAACCCCAGAGGATGAGACCCATCCAAGAATAATCTCGACCCCACAAGGCCGGAATCTGGTTTTGAAGCCTCCTGCTTGACCGTTGAACGCGTTCTTTGTATCACCATCGTGCTTGGAGGAGATTGCCTATTTAATGGGGATCCATGCAGAAGCCTTACACGAGGAAGGAAATCTTGATGAACGCGCGACCGTCTCAGAGTTCCATCTTTGGTGGAAGAGGTAAGACACCAGCTGTGCAAGCATCAGCATCAAAGAGAGGACAACAGAAAGGTATGTGCCCCGTTTAGTAATGCATCTTCAAAAAGGAGCCTTATTAAAGGGCCCGTACTTTTTTTCATCCTTTTTTGAAGTCTCTCTTAGACTCAGTCAGCATCACATTCCCAGACTTCACGTTGTGGAAACCATCGACGTGCGGCCGAAAGAAGGAGCCGCATCCCCCCAGGACTTGCCGTCTTCCTTCCCAGAAGTTGGCACTCCCATCCTTGACGTGGCCTTTCTTCCGTCCAGTGCCTTGGCCAGGTGCGGACTGAAGCGAAAAACGGTCAATGAGGGGAGCCATTCAGAGCCATGTCCGAAAAGGTTCAGTTAGGGGTCACTGGGAGCCAATGTGCCTTTGACCTCTTTTGGACCAGTTTTCGATGCTCAGGTGCCGTTTGCCGAATTCAGGGTTCGGTCAGCTCTGCACATCTCAACGGCAAGCAATGTACACTTGGCCGACAGCTCCTGGCTGATGATACCCATGCGTTGGTGCATGTGGAGGTGAAACCGCTTGAAAGTCACAGCAACCGTGATAACTGCCAGATTCTTTTTGTAAGAACAATGCACAGCGATATGGAAGAAGTGCTAGACTCTTAGACACTGCTAGATTTTTTGCACTGGTATCATTTCAAGAATGTCAGAAGGCAAAAGACCTTGTGAAAAGTGTTATCTGGTGGACCGTATGGCCAATGAAGGTCAAAGGGACTTGTTTTGAGCGTGGAAACACCACCGGTTTATAAAAGAACAACTTTACTTTTTGTGAACACTTCTACCTCAACATCAATTGGTAACTTGCCAGGGTGAGGAGGCAGCAGGCGCGAGGTATCGTGAGGTTGTGCTTGCAAGCTGAATTGTTTGCCACCTCAAGGTTTGTACTGATCCATCTCTATTTGTTAGCTGCACAGATTGCCATTCTTTCAAGATTATGCTAATCTACACATGTATACTCGTGTGTGTATATATGTCGATTTGTTCGGTCCTGTTGTTTGCATGGAAGAAACCCAACACACACACACATCATGAAGTGCACTCGCTTGCAGAGGCGCCATGCTGCTGGCACGGAAGAATCTCATTTTTGAAGCCATCGGGCAGTTAAATGAGTCCAATGCACCTCCCATGCCTTCTGAGGACAGGCATCCAGGTCTTGCAGTGTTTGTGTGTGTGTGTGTCTCTCTCTCTCTGTCTGGTGGAGTGCATTTGGAGACCTTTTTTGCAGGTGACTTCCAATACCAATGGAACTGAGCTTATCAACTTCTTACTACAGGAGCTCCCATCTCCTTCGCAGATCTTGGGATCCTCGCTGCCTGTAAAGGGTGAGGAGGTGGGAGAGATGTGGCAATGGACCATGGGTCAAAAGCGCACCTGTGGACATCCAAACATCCGCATGCACGGTACTTGTACGTTTCGTCCCAGTACTGAAATGGCTATAGCCGGCGGCAGAGGAGGTACCCCAAAGGTCAAAGAGACCAGATTGTAAAACATGAATTCAGATTCAGATGCTCCTCACAGAACTACAGAACAGTTCCAATGCACTGCAAGCCATGGCATTTAAGTATTTAATTTAGCAGTTAAGTTTGGCCTCAGGCAGCGCAATGGCTTTGTGCCGTTGTGATGCGCTTGTTGGTCAAGGGCTGTGGCAAAGAGGAGCCTCCGGCCGGTCCAACTGGGCCCCATGCATTGACATGTGACTCATATGACATCATATGACCAATAGAATCAATGTTGGGGCTCCAAGGCATTTCTTCAATTTTGGCAGGAAATTGGCTTCATCCTTTCCTTGCCAGCGAAGGGACAAGAGGCTTCATTCGGGAACTCGAACATGCCCTCATCGATAACTGCTGACCAACTTGGACAGCTTTTACAGGACACGGAATGTGGTCGGCCACACGTTGCATGAGAAGTCTGGGATTTGTATTGGCGCAGTGATGAATGAATCAAAGTGAATCACAGCGATTCATGCGTTTCAAGGATTTGAGCTTTTGCCCTCCGGGTGCTGAATGCCGTGTGGAGGGTGCCAAGAGTTCGGGAAAGCTGAATGGCCTACAAGGCGAGATGGGACACAGTTCACCCAAGTCACCACAGCACTGATTTGTAGAAAAGAAACAAGTTGGTTTTAAATTTGGCTTGCCAACAATTGCTCCGTAATAAGGTCTTAATTAGATGTGCTACTGCTATGCCCTTGCCGCAGAGCATCCTCCTTCTTCAGAGCTCCGAAGCCGAAGGAAAGCATTTCAGCGCGTCAACTTGTACCCGAAATAGCCAACATGAAGTGCAGGGAGCTAGCACTAGCAAAACCTGATCAAACAGATGAGTACTCAGCGGTTTTTGTTGTTTATATACATAGGCTGATCTATCTTCATACGTTCAAGAGTCTGGAGGAACTTGCTATGCTTTGATTGTCCCTGCGAGGTGTCTTGACAGAGGCATGTCCTGGTCATGCAAGCCATGCAAAGTTGCAGCTGCCAGGACAGAGACCGAAGAACTTGGACCAATATGCATCGTCAATAGTGATATAGGACCGGACTGAGATGATTCCACATGACTTTTGGAAAGATCAAGGTAGAATTGCCTCAAAAAAGGTGGAAGACTGACAACTGACTCCCTTGGTCTCTACGTTTTGCAGCCAGTTGAGCACGACTGCACAACCCCGAACGAAGTGACACATTCTGCACAACCCCGAATGAAGCGACACATTCTTGCATGCACCTAGGGGAGAATGGTTCTGGTGCACATGAGCATGTATGCTTCGTAGTTTGCGGGTTCCTCTTATCATACTTATCATATAACATCAGGCCATAACTTGCATGCAACCAGCACCTTTGGCCTTACTGAAACCTGCGGCCTGAATTGGTGGAAACACACCCAAGCATGCTGAGTCTAGCGCAGGAGAAGGAGAGGTGCTGAGACTCCGCTGCAAGGGACAATTCGATTGCACAGATTCTGTGCATTTCTGTGCCAAATCTCTAATGAGGATTCATCGCAAGAACTTGCGTTTGATCTCCTACGCCGGCCTTTGTACGGATGGCAAGAAAGAAGTCAACGTACACACAGCAGGCAGGATAGCACATGATCAAGAATGACTTTCCCAACAAGTATGCTTGTGTTCCCTAAACAGTTTAGTGTTAGGGTTCTCTCAGGAAAAACAGGGCTGGGCAACACGTTATTGATGTTGTCAAATACGATGAGGCCGACCTTGACTCTGTCAAAGTCTCTCAAGTCCGCTGCCTCGGATTCGACCACTTGCACGAAAGGAGGCTTCCAATTGAAAACCGTGTGCACATTTTTTGTCAGGGTTGACTTGCCAAGATCAGACATTTGTACCGCATGGGAATTTCTGACAACCGCTCCGCTCATGGGTGCACAGCTGCGAGCACCTCTGTCCTTGGGCCCTGTCTTCTCCACCTTGTCGGGGCTTTGTCCAGCCCTGCGTGTCTTGTTTCAGGCCTGTGCGTTTCGGCGTTGTCGGCCCTCGTATGCCTTGTCCCGGCCTCGTCCCTCTGCTTGGCCACGCTGTTTTCTCGTTCTCCATCCACCGCCTTGACCAGGTGGGTTTTCTTGTGGCTATGAGTGCAACAGTGATGCAGCGTTGCAAACTTGAACAAGTTTGATATCATCCTCGGATTTTCTCCAGCATTGGCATTCAAAGCATTGCCGCAACAGGAATCATGCTGTTGAGTGTAAATATCTTTTTGCCTGGATAGCCTGGAGAGATGGTGAAACTTGGCATTTCACGCAGGGACTGCCGGCCTTTGTTCCTGGTGCTGCAGCCTCTCAGTTGCGCCGAAGACGTCGAAGATCGATGCCAGCGAAAAACTCACCGCCGCTGGGCTTTGAAAGAAGTGGAGAGCAAAGCCTTCAACGCTACAGAACCATCAAAGTAAATCATCACATTATTTGCTGGAAACTGCAAACTGGAAGCATTTCTCACTACTTTCTTTCGAGAGACTTCGCCGTTCTCGCTCTGAGGGCGAACTCCATCGGCTCGCTGATTTGAAGGCCGGTGGTCTACTGAGTGAGGACGAGTTTCAAGCTGCCAAGGCAAAGCTCCTGGCGTAACCCGAAGGATTTGATCCATTCCAAAGTGATGGACAAAATCGATAGGCATTTGGAAAGAAACCGCTTGGCCGTTGGAGAACTTTGTGAAAGTTTTGATGTCAGCACAAAGAGGTAATGCATTCATATTACTCAAGAGAAGGACTATATGTTTAGCAATTTGCTACTGAAATGCAGCCCTCAGCTTGGAACGCCGGAACTTGGAGTTTTAAGGAAGCTACTGAAGGCACTGAAGGCAAGTGAACGTAGCCCTGAAAGTAAGTTTGCCTAAACATCTACAGTAGAAACCAAATCATTAGTGTGAGCGCTTTGTCAAGGAAGCTCCCCCCGCCCTCAGGCGGGGGGAGATTCCTTGAAGAAGCGTGAAGCTAGGAGCTTACTCCCTTGCTTAATTAAGCAGTAGGGGGGTGGAGCAGGCTAAGAAAACAGACACAAACCTTTTTTTGCCCAGTTTATGCCGCTTTTGACGCTGGCGCGCTCAGGTGGGGCTCTCGACTGTGTGTCTCGAGCCAAGAGGTGGGATGGCTTCGGAGGTTGTGGTGTCCAAAAGGGACATCGGAGATTTGAGATCAATGAACTCCGATTTTGTTGGTTTAAGTTGTTGTTGTTGTTGTTGTTGCTTTTAACTAAATGTACATGTTAAACAACCAGCATTCACGAGACTCAGAACGAGGCCGAAGAACTCTGCCGCGCTGTTTGGGGTGTCCCAGCAGAGCTTCGAAAGATCACCTTTGAAGGATTCCAACGAGCGGAGAGTTGCTGCTGGAGCCCTGCAGCAGTGTCTAAGGTGAGCAAAGATTCTCACGTATCGCTTTACTAACGCAGTCTATGGCATTCACCATTTGTTTGTCCAAGATTAGTGTTGGCTTGTGAACAAGATAGGGGCCCCTGAAAATACACAGCGTATTGGAGTTTAGCAAGAACTTACTTTCAACATTTACTAGTTGTGAGATGTTGTGAGATAGGTCTGGAGAAACGGGCATCTCTGTCTTTGTTGCTCCCAGTCAATCTTGGCCTCGAATATCCCCAGCTCACCTCATTTCGTCTTCTTTGGCCATTTGATCTGACTTGAGCCGGATTTAAACCACTTTGATCACTTTTGATCTGGTTTCGTCTCATGTTCCTTGCAATCTCCAGGAAGTGGCTCTGGTTTGCGCTGCAGCACCAGCTCAAATGACGCAGTTGAAGTAAGGGGATGGGAGGCACCAACTTTTGTTCGTTTGTTGAGGCATCTGGCTGGTCGGTGTGACGTCTTTCAATTATACAGTAAAATACAGTAAATGTTTTCGCAGACTTTCTGTGGCTTTCTCCTGGCTTTTCAATTTGAATCGAAGCTGAGCATGAAAAGGCCTTGCGCCTATCCGAGAAAGAGTCTGGCACTTGAAGACAGCAGGACAGACACCGAACGACCAAAAACAAACAGGTCATTGGGTGCAGCTCAACAACAACAGGCCAACGTTCCAGGAATGTCTTGTGCGCTGCTCGAAGGGAGCGGTGGACAATGTTCTGGCTTCACTTCTGAGGTCTGGACTCACTGTAAGCCTTCCGGGTCGACTTCCAATTTGGTGGACGCCTGCGATCAAGGACCTTTGGGTGAGTGAACCTTCTTGTGTGTTGAACCTCCACGCTTGTCTGGCTGTCAGTCGCTTTGGCTCCCGCTTAGATTTGCAGAAGACGAGGCACAGTCTGGCCGGGCATGTCCCTTTTTTATAAGTATAGAATATATCATGAACAAAAAGGAAAGGAAACAAGGTAGACCTTTGGTTTTGTGTGCGGGTGGTTTGCCGGCTGCTTGGGGGAGGTGCTGCACCCTCCCCACCAGCCTCCCTCCCGCACCACCAAATCTACACATGGTATTCCTATTTCCTGGCCTGCTACAACAACGGGTATTTTTAGGTGGAAGTCTGTTTCGGTGGCTTGAGAATGGAGCAACTTACTGCGGTCATGGTCTGACTTTAATGGGCGAGACGAACAAACACACACACACACAAAACAGGCAGCACAACCTGGACAGACACATCATGAGGAAACTTCATGAGGTCATGACCTGCTTTTCCGCGGAACATACACTAGCAACAGGAACAAACAATGGGCTCTTTTGTGTGTGCTGCCGGTTGTGCCCGAATGCATTGTCTTTCTGTGCGGACAAGTCTCGGGCGTTTGCGCTCGCTTGCAACCCTGAGTTCGGAATAGTTTTTTGATCACCCGGCGATCATTTTCCTATACTTTTCCTAATATATTAGTATTTTGTTTTGATCCTGACATTGGGTTTTTCCTATAGTACCGCGTCCTGTGATACATTGAAGTTGAGTCTCTTTTTGGCACAGGGCGGCCTCAATTTGCACCGAATTTTCCTCTCTGCTGAGAAGCTGTCGGTTCAATGGCACTGGCCAGGTCCGGACCTCAAAACGGCACAGGTTTTCGTTTGCAAACGGCCTGTGCGAATCTACCGAGAAGGGACACCAGATCCCTGACCCTACTTTTGGTCGACCTCAGACTCTTACTTACTTATCTCCGGTTTCGCGGATTCCCATTAGGGACTTTGGAAGATGAGGTCGCACATCGATCGCTTCGAAGCCTCGAAGCCTCGCTGGCACATTGTTGGGCGCCCTCCATGCACTCCTGAGGTGATGACAAGCCTAACTCTGGCGATGCAGACGGCCTACCTTTGCCGTTGTCCATTCTAGCCGATGGTGCCTCGGATTTCCTGGAGTGAATGAGAGGAGGGGTCGAGAAATGGGCTGTGTGGGCAGATGAAGAGGATCTTGGAACAAAGCTTTGCGTATGTGTGCACTGGGCTGTCCTGGGCTGTCAAGAAAGAGAGACAGAGAGAGAGAGAGAGAGAGAG